TCTAATTAGTTTTAAAAAATGTACTTCGTTTTTACTGTATTCAATTAAAACGTACGACTTTCTTTTTCGTTTTCAGTTTAGTAAAATTGTATCGTTTTTCATTACGTCTAGTGTAGTTTAGTTTGGGTTTATGGTAGTCTAATTTCGTTGAGTTTAAGGGCTGTAAATTGTTCTCTTTCTGTTGTTGTCATTTTGATTTCATTGACAAAATCTACAGTGATGCCTGCATGTGAAGTATTAGTAATTGTATTGAAACGGCTCAAAATGGAGCTGAGTGTGTGTTTGGGATTGAGATTAGTTGTTTGTTGTACCGTTCGCCAAAAAGTTATACTATATGCTGAATCCCCTTGACTTTTTCGTGTATTGACTTCTTTGTATTTTGACCCTGTTCATAAAAATACTGGTCCCGCCGCTAGTTGTACCTGCATGTGAGGCAGGCAATCATTACTCTCTGTTTCTTTACTAAAATGAGCAGTAGAATTTTGTGAAGATTTACACTAACTTGCTTTTTATGGATTTCCAGAAGTTATCGTTGAAACTTGAAACATAACATAAGTTTACTGTCCATTTTAGTGATATGTTTTTGTGGTTTTTTTTTGCTGGATCATTCTATGAGACACTTTGATTAAGGAAGAGTAACCTTTTTCAAGAGATTCTATTAATGGATAAAACTTGAAGACGAAAAAGCTACTATCAAGCAGTTGAAATTGCTAACCTTTTGTTATATTTACACAAAAATATAGCAATGATACAGTTTTTGCTGAATTTCTTCAAAGTGTTATAGTTATGAAACCTTAGTTTGCAGAGTTTGACATTACTTATCTCACCCAAAGCTTCCTGCTCTTGATCAGTTGACTCAACTGCTCTCTCTATGCAGGAATGAATCTAGATGCACAAATTTGGGCCGCATAATGGAAGCTCATTGCCCGAAGCTTTTTGGAGCATCATACAAGGATCCAATCTCAAGTTTTAAAGAGTTTCAGAGGTTTTCTGTTCAGCACCCTGAGGCAAGTTCTTGTTTCAGTGTTGAATTTGAGTTTCTGGTTACTGAGCTTTTTTCCACATTCTATTCATACTTGGAGCTAATAACTTGGAGTTTTTTCCAGATTTACTGGTCAATTGTTTTAAAAGAACTACCAATTCACTTTCTGGAAACCCCTAAATGCATACTGGATACCTCTGACAAGTCAAAACATGGAGGAAATTGGCTTCCTGGTTCAGTTCTGAATATAGCTGAGAGTTGTGTGCGTTCGAGCAATTACCCCAACAAGCAGGATGATAGCGTGGCCATTGTATGGAGGGCAGAAGGGAATGATGATAAAGAAGTTAATTGCATGACATTGAAACAGCTGAGAGAACAAGTAATGTAGGCTCTTGCTTCATATTGTAATATCTGTTCATTCCATTCGTATTTGGTTGAATGAAGCTTACTTTCTCTAATTGATCTTGGTGAAAGTAAAGCCATGTGCTTATTAAATTGTTCTTGTGGTTCATCTGGTGCACTATACTGTTGTCTTGCATTTGGCGTTACGGATATGATATATTTTCCTTCCTTCTGTTTTGGTTTTTCTGATACTGTCTTCAGGCAAAATAATTTGATCATAAGCTGTCTTCTTGTATACATACATTGCCATTACGCCCCCCTTCATGCTCCCTTCTTCTCATAATCACTCTTTTCTAAATTGAGAGCTCATTTTAAACTTCTTGTCTCTTCCACAGGATGGTGGCAAATGCGCTGGACAACATGTTCTCAAAGGGAGATGCTATTGCCATTGACATGCCAATGACTGCCACAGCAGTCATTATATACTTGGCCATTGTTCTTGCTGGATTTGTGGTGGTATCAATTGCTGATAGCTTTGCTGCACAGGAGATTGCGGTCCGTTTACGAGTGTCTAATGCCAAGGCTGTATTTACACAGGTACTTCTGTTTTCTAGTGAACAGAAAA